TAGCATCTTTAGAAATATATTTGACGTGTTCAATACTTATTTTACCTGCTGTATATACACAGGTTCTGAGACTGATTAATGTGCTCATTAAACTCAGTGCCCAATCTGCATTAAAGTGGTAGTAAAGGCGAAAAGGTTTTTCACCTTCATGCATTCTATGCATGTAGGTAAAAAAAGCTTCTCTGTGCAGCAGCTCCCCCAGCAGCCCCCCCCCCCCCAATACTCACCTAAGCCCCCTCTCAATCCAGCGATGTGCACTGGAGTCTCATCTATCCTGGGATTCTCTCTTCTCATTGGCTGAGACAAAAGCAGGAGCCGTTGGCTTCCGCTGCTATCAGTCACAGCCAGTGAGCCAATGAGAAGAGAGGGGGCGGGACTGAGCCGCAGCTCTGTGTGTGAACAGACAAACGGAGCAGCGAGTGCTCCCATTGCAAGCTGCTTGCTGTGGGGGCACACAACAGGAGGGAGGGGCCAGGAGCGCCGAGGGGGACCCGAGAAGAGGAGAATCCGGGCTGCACTGTGTAAAACCACTGCACACAGCAGGTAAGTATAGACATGTTTGTTTTTTCTTTAAAAAAAATAAGTCTTTGGAAGCACTTTAACTGAGCCTCAGAATGTAATTTAATGTGTTTGGTTTTAAAAGGATAGGGTGGCAACCCTACCATATATACCCGTCACCTGCCACTGAGGACGCTACCGTATATACCCGTCACCTGCCACTGAGGACGCTACCGTATATACCCGTCACCTGCTACTGAGGACGCTACCGTATTTACCCGTCACCTGCCACTGAGGACGCTAACGTGTATACCCGTCATTTGACACCACTGAGGACGCTACCGTATATACCCGTCACCTGCCACTGAGGACGCTACCGTGTATACCCGTCACCTGCCACTGAGGACGCTACCGTATATACCCGTCACCTGCCACTGAGGACGCTACCGTATATACCCGTCACCTGTCACTGAGGACGCTGCCGTATATACCCGTCACCTGCCACTGAGGACGCTGCCGTGTATACCCGTCACCTGCCACTGAGGACGCTGCCGTGTATACCCGTCACCTGCCACTGAGGACGCTGCCGTGTATACCCGTCACCTGCCACTGAGGACGCTGCCGTGTATACCCGTCACCTGCCACTGAGGACGCTGCCGTGTATACCCGTCACCTGCCACTGAGGACGCTACCGTGTATACCCGTCACCTGCCACTGAGGACGCTACCGTGTATACCCGTCACCTGCCACTGAGGACGCTACCGTGTATACCCGTCACCTGCCACTGAGGACGCTACCGTGTATACCCGTCACCTGCCACTGAGGACGCTACCGTGTATACCCGTCACCTGCCACTGAGGACGCTACGTGTATACCCGTCACCTGCCACTGAGGACGCTACCGTGTATACCCGTCACCTGCCACTGAGGACGCTACCGTGTATACCCGTCACCTGTCACCTGCCACACTGAGGACGCTACCGTGTATACCCGTCACCTGCCACTGAGGACGCTACCGTATATACCCGTCACCTGCCACTGAGGACGCTACCGTGTATACCCGTCACCTGCCACTGAGGACGCTACCGTATATACCCGTCACCTGCCACTGAGGACGCTACCGTGTATACCGTCACCTGCCACTGAGGACGCTACCGTATATACCCGTCACCTGACACTTAGGACGCTACCGTGTATACCCGTCACCTGCCACTGAGGACGCTACCGTATATAACCCGACACTGACTGAGGACGCTACTGTATATATACCAATCACCTGATACTGAGACCTACCATATATACCCGTCACCTGAGGACTCCACTGAGTGACGCTGCCGTATATACCCGTCACCTGACACTGAGGCCGCTACCGTATATACCCGTCACCTGCCACTGAGGACGCTACCGTGTATACCCGTCACCTGACACTGAGGACGCTACTGTGTCTACCCGTCACCTGACAATGAGGACGCTACCGTATATACCCGTCACCTGCCACTGAGGACGCTACCGTATATACCCGACACTGAGGACGCTACCGTATATATACCCCTGACACTGAGGACGCTACCGTATATACCCGTCACCTGCCACTGAGGACGCTACCGTATATACCCGTCACCTGCCACTGAGGACGCTACCGTATATACCCGTCACCTGCCACTGAGGACGCTACCGTATATACCCGTCACCTGAGGACACTGAGAGGACGCTACCGTATATACCCGTCACCTGAGGACGCTACCGTATATACCCGTCACCTGCCACTGAGGACGCTACCGTATATACCCGTCACCTGCCACTGAGGACGCTACCGTATATACCCGTCACCTGCCACTGAGGACGCTACCGTAATATACCGTCAGTCCTGGGATGAGGACGCTACCGTATATACCCGTCACCTGCCACTGAGGACGCTACTGTATATACCCTCACCTGCCACTGAGGACGCTACCGTATATACCCGTCACCTGCCACTGAGGACGCTACCGTATATACCCGTCACCTGCCACTGAGGACGCTACCGTATATACCCGTCACCTGCCACTGAGGACGCTACCGTGTATACCCGTCACCTGCCACTGAGGACGCTACCGTGTATACCCGTCACCTGCCACTGAGGACGCTACCGTGTATACCCGTCACCTGCCACTGAGGACGCTACCGTATATACCCGTCACCTGCCACTGAGGACGCTACCGTGTATATACCCGTCACCTGCCACTGGGACGCTACCGTGTATACCCGTCACCTGCCACTGAGGACGCTACCGTGTATACCCGTCACCTGCCACTGAGGACGCTACCGTGTATACCCGTCACCTGCCACTGAGGACGCTACCGTATATACCCGTCACCTGCCTTATAATACCCGGTCACCTGCCACTGAGGACGCTACCGTGTATATACCCGTCACCTGCCACTGAGGACGCTACCGTGTATACCCGTCACCTGCCACTGAGGACGCTACCGTGTATACCCGTCACCTGCCACTGAGGACGCTACCGTTTACATAGATATATAGCAGGTTAAGTTATCCATATTAACTCATACCACTCCATGATGGTCCTGTACACCTCGAAATAACTTTTTATAGACATCTCCTCTGGTCGAGGATAGACAATGGGTCTCCTGACTCTTCCTCTGTCCATGGTGTTCACATCCCAGCTCATCACAGATGTCATATTTTCGGTTGCTTTGTGTCCTTGTCTTGTGTGGTGATGGGATTTGGTTGTCATTGTTATGTTTTGTCTTGCAGGCTGCAGACACACTCGCAGTTAGACAGAAACGGCGAATTTATGACATCACCAATGTGCTGGAAGGCATCGGGCTGATAGAGAAGAAATCCAAGAACAGTATTCAGTGGAAGTAAGAATCCTGCACAGGGCAGGCCTCATGTCTGCAGTTGTCTGTGAATGGATGAGTCTGATTGGTGGGGGTTTTACAGGGTCATGTCTGATTGGTGGGGCTCATACAGGATTGTGTCTGGGTGGTGGCACTTGTATAGTGCACTGTCCTTCTTATCTGTAGGGTCAGTCCTGGGGATGAACTGTCCTTCCTATCTGTAGGGTCAGTCCTGGGGATGAACTGTCCTTCCTATCTGTAGGGTCAGTCCTGGGGATGAACTGTCCTTCCTATCTGTAGGGTCAGTCCTGGGGATGAACTGTCCTTCCCATCTGTAGGGTCAGTCCTGGGGATGAACTGCCCTTCTTATCAGTGGGGTCAGTCCTGGGGATGAACTGCCCTTCTTACCAGTGGGGTCAGTCCTGGGGATGAACTGCCCTTCTTACCAGTAGGGTCAGTCCTGTGGATGAACTGCCCTTCTTACCATCGTTTCCTCCACCCCCCTAGGGTCAGTCCTGTGGATGAACTGCCCTTCTTACCAGTAGGGTCAGTCCTGGGGATGAACTGCCCTTCTTACCAGTAGGGTCAGTCCTGGGGATGAACTGCCCTTCTTACCAGTAGGGTCAGTCCTGGGGATGAACTGCCCTTCTTACCAGTAGTTTCAGTCCTGGGGATGAACTGCCCTTCTTACCAGTAGGGTCAGTCCTGGGGATGAACTGCCCTTCCTATCTGAAGGGTCAGTCCTCTGGACAAACTGTACGTTCCTATCTGTATGTCTATAAGTGAGTGTGTGTTTGTTTGTTTTATGACATTCTAGTAGAAGTAGTGGGTATTAATGTGACCCGTCCACCCCACAGGAAGGACAGATTGGGAACTGGGGCATTGTTCGTTATTGTCATTTGGTGTGTGAATTGCCCTCAAGCAGGGCATTATACTCATCACCACAGTTGGAAAGCATTCTGATCCTCCTAGTCCATGTAGAACTTTGTATGTATGTATACATTGAACTATGGAGAGTAATTGGTTCTATTTCTGTGCAGGGGTGTCGGTCCCGGTGTAACACACGGGAGATTGCCGACAAGCTCATTGATCTTAAGGCTGAACTAGCAGATCTGGAGCAACGGGGAGCAGGAACTTGACCAGCAACGTGTCTGGGTGCAACAAAGCATCAAGAATGTGACGGATGACGTGCAGAACACGGGATATCCTTTACCCAACTAATCTACCCCCTTCCCCATACACATTATCTACCATTCCCTATACACTAATCTATCCCTTCTCTTCCACACTGATCTTCCCCTTCCTTGATGCACATCATCTACCCACTTCCCATACACTGATCTACTCCCTTCCCCCATACACATTACCTCGTCCCATACACTAATCTACCCCTCCTCTTTCACAATAATACCCCCCCATGCACATTATCTTACCTCTCAACACTTCCCCTGTAGGGGGCTATTCTAAGTTTTCTGTTCTTTTTACACATAAGACATGCTGCATGTCAGGCTGTGTTTGGGCTATCTACTCATTGAACCCTCATCATTATAGCTGATGTCCATGGGAGTGGAGATGGTTTACAGTGTTCTTCCTTAACGGGGTTCACATTAGCATACCTGACGCACGAAGATATCTGTCGCTGTTTTCGAGGTTAGTCTTGTTACTGATGGTGTGAGCTGGGAAAGGATTTGACAAGGCCTGGTCACCCTTCAGTGTATGCAGCTAATTCACCAACTGATTGCATTGTTCTTATACTCGGTCACCATCATGCTGGACTTAGTGGTGGTGTTACCACCTATTGCCCATGTCCTTGTAATACTAGACTCAGTGGTCCTGTTCCCATCTATTTCCCATGTCCTTACAATGCTAGACTCAGTGGTCCTGTTCCCACCTGTTGCCCATGTCCCTTTAAAGCTAGAATCAGTGGTCCTGTTCACACCTATTTCCCATGTTCTTATAATACTAGACTCATTGGTGGTGTTCCCACCCAATAGTCATTTCCTCTTAATACTAGACTTAGTGGTGGTGTTCCCACCTCTTGCCCATGTCCCCATAATGCTAGATTCAATCGTGGTGTTCCCACCTATTAGCAATTTCCTTATAATGCTAGGCTTGGTCTTGGTGTTCTCACCTGTTACCCATACGCTGCTCATCTTAATTATAACAGTACGCGGGTTGTGTTTTTTTTTTTTTTTTGTTGGGGAGTCTATTGTGACGGTTGTGGTTTTACAGGTGATACATTGCTCGCCATCAGAGCTCCGTCGGGCACATGTTTAGAGGTTCCAGTGCCAGAGGTAAGTGTCCATTATTCTGATTTGCAGCTTCTGCATGTCTGACTACATAGATTTGAATTCTGTCACCTCCTGCTCCACATTTAGGCAATCAACGGGCAAAAGAAGTTTCAGATTCACCTGAAGAGTTCCACGGGTCCCATAGAGGTTCTTTTAGTTAATAAAGACACTTCAAACTCTCCTCCAGTTGTTGTCCCTGTCCCACCTCCAGAAGATATTGTCCAATCAAATCCTGCAATCACAAACACCCCCTCATCAAGCTGCCCTCACCCATGAAACAGAACCGAAGCCCCCCCCACCAGCTACACCTCAGAGCCCTGTTTCTGGTGAGTTACTATATTGTAAGATTTCTTTTTACCCCTAGGGAGTATGGATAGTATAAAATCTACTGCATACCCCAGAAAGTATGAATAGTGTGATATCTGCTCTATACCCCAGGAAATTTAACGGCTTCCCGCACAACCTATTGTAATATGGCTGCCGGGTGGAATCTCTCCTATCCTCACAGGATCGCTCCTCACGGTCCATGCTTCAGCACAAGCTGTTGGCCGCTGTGCCCACCTGACACAGTGAATGACAGATCAGTGTACCGGGCTACTACTGGTACCATGTGATTGCTGTGACCAATCACAGCAGATCACATGACAATTGTACACAATGGATGGCTTCCATTCATTGTGTACTAATTGTGTTGATCTTTGTGATTGGTCACAGTGATCATATGGTACAGACATGGCCAATCACAGCCCATCACCACCCTGTGGCTAATCAAAATAGTACGCACTGAATGAATTGACTTCATTCAGAAAAAAATATTGCTTATAACAGTGATTATCACAGTGTGTAAAAAATAAAAGAAATTCCTGATCACCTCCCCAGAGTAGTACCCGTGTTACTATAGCAACATTCTATTGCTCCGGCCACAGTATTTAAAAAGAAAAAAATCGTTAAACAAAAATTGTAATGAAAAAATGATTACTTTTTTTTTTTTTTTTTTCATACTGTCGCCAGTTAGTGTCCCTGATCACCACTACACCAGTTATATGATGATGCTGTACTGCACTGGTGACTGTGTATAAAAAAAAGAAAAAAAAAACAATTTTTGTAAAAATGTCTTCATTTTTTCAAAAATTACAGCTTCAAAAAACTTGCCATGCCGCTTACTGAATACCTTGGACTGTCTATTTTCCAAAAAATGATATGATATCTATTTTCTACCCTTAGGGAGATGGATAGTGAGATATCTACTGTATACCCCCAGGGAGCATAAACCAAATGATAGCTTTGCTGTACCTACCAGGAAATATAAATACTAAGATAGCTTTACTATACCCCCAGGGCATATGAATAGTGTGGATATTGTGTTATCTGCTCTCTAGTTTTATCTCAGTGATTGTGAAGATAATAATGACCATTCCCTACATTCCCCTCGCTGAGTATAGATACCTTAATGTCCACTTTCTACTTACCTGATTAGTATGTCAAGTGATGGCTACTTCCACCAGGGGCATATGGGTGCTATGATGGAACGGTGATTTTTAGTTTGTTGTATTTGTTGTTCAGAAACGCAGGAATGCCTTCCGTCCAGCCCAGCAGTGGAAGATTCTGGTTCCACCCATCTACCCAGTGTCGATACCAGTTGCCCCCTCCAGTCTTCAGCCTCATTAGACAGCAGTGTTGATTTGCTAAATCCATCTACCTCATTCCAGCCAATCAAGTCTGACCCATCAGACGGTAAGTAAAATGCTTCTTTAGGTTTTGTTATCACCAAATTGTTCTTGGTTGTAGGGGAAGATCAACAGTTTCTCTTTTATAGTACCTTAAAAGAAATCTTTATTGGATTCTAGAGAGGTTTAGTTCATTAGATCCTAAGTGTCCAGCCATACTATCTATAACGTTTGTGGTGGATTACAGAAGTTTATGGAGGTGTAATATTTCTTTTTGTTGTAGTATTGGAGTTACCCACCGATCTCTCCGAATTGTTTGACCCTACAAAAGGTAAATGGTTCTACTTTTATTATTCTTCAGTCATTTCCGAGGTTTCCAGGGACTTCATGCAATGTGTCTATCCAGTGTGAAGGGCTGAATCTCTAACTGGGGCAAAGTGCTGAGTATCGGGGTAAAGGCCTATCTATCTGGGGAGACGAGCTGAATATTTTTCTGGGGGGGGAGGGGCCAAGTATCTGGGCTGAAGAGCTGAGTATCCCACATAGCCAGTATACTGTATGTTCAGTCTGTTGAAGTGGACTTAAAGGAAAATGATAAAGAACTAAAGATGAACTCAGACTGAGTCTCCATACTGCCTGACACAATTACAGGTTTACAGCTGTATAGATTATGATGAGGACTGGGACTCGACATAAAATGAGGAAACCGGCTGAAGAATCAGAATGTGATGAATACTTCCTGAAATTATGAGTGGAAGTCTCTCAGGATCATAAAAATAAATATAGAAAAGCATTTGTATATTTAGGGAAGAAACATATATGCACAGCAGAAATGAAAAGACCTCTTTAGTGTCTTTTCAATAAAAATAACGGATTTAAATATTGCTAAGTTCAGTGGATGTACATATTCCAGTTTAATGTGCAGCAGACTTCATGGATGTACATCCTACTGTCTGACATACAGCGGACTCCATGGACGTACATCTTTCCTTCTGACATACAGGACACATCCTCTGTTCTGATGTAGAGCAGACTCCATGAATGTACATCTTCCAGTATGACATACAGCTGAATTTGGATGTATGATCTCTCTTCTGACGTACAGTAGACTCCATGGATGGGCATCTCCTATTCCAACGTAGATCAAACTCAATGGATGTACATCTTCCGATTTAATTTACAACAGACCCCAAGGATGTAATAGATCTTTCATTCTGACGTACAGCAGACTCCATGGATTGTACATCTCTGGTCTGATTTACAGTGGATTCCATGGATGTATAACTTTCGTTCTGATGTACAGTGGACTCTATGGATGGGCATCTTCCATTCTGACATACAGCAAATGTCATGGATGTATGTCCTCCGGTCTGATGTACAGCAGACCACATGGATGAACATCTTCTCTTCTGACGTACAGCAGACTACATGGATGTACTGTACATCCCCTGATCTGATGTACAGTGGACTCCATGGATGGGCATCTTCCATTCTGACATACAGCAAATGTCATGGATGTATGTCCTCCGGTCTGATGTACAGCAGACTCCATGGATTGTACATCTCTGGTCTGATTTACACTGGATTCCATGGATGTACAACTTTCGTTCTGATGTACAGTGGACTCCATGGATGGGCATCTTCCATTCTGACATACAGCAAACTCCATGGATGTATATCCTCCGGTCTGATGTACAGCAGACCACATGGATGAACATCTTTTCTGACGTACAGCAGACTACATGGATGTACTGTACATCCCCTGGTCTCATGTACAGTGGACTGTATGGATGGGCATCTTGCATTCTGACATACAGCAAACTCCATGGATGTATATCCTCCGGTCTGATGTACAGCAGACCACATGGATGAACATCTTCTCTTCTCACATACAGCAGGCTACATGAATGTACTGTACATCCCCTGGTCTGATGTACAGTGGACTCCATGGATGGACATCTTCTGGTCTGACCTATATGTAAGATGTATAAAAATCTTTCTGCACTTAGTATGACTATGTGACCGCTGCACTCAAAATGATCTGAATACTAGATAAATAACAGTTGGTGAGTGATTATAAAGTGCGCTTCCACATACTCTCAAACTATAATAATAACATATATCCACAATCTATGGTGTATAAAATGTACCACAGCATGCACAACAATATAAATATGAAAAAGTCCAAGCAACAAAGTGCTAAGTGAAATAACAGGTAATAGTCCTTCAAAACAAAATACAGTCAGTAAGTGATCTCCTTTAGTGCCCTTCACCATGCACCTCACAACCTCTTACTGGGTTACACTGATCTCTCTAATTATAAAGAGATCAATAAAGCTGCTAAGTAGATCCACAAAGGAGCTCCTCTCTGCCAGCGGTCCCAGTGCCCAGGCATCAGGTCTGAATCTGATATAAACCACTAGCACAGCAGCATAATATGCAAAAAGCCCTTGCAAAACAACAGAGAAGAACAGAAGCTGAACTAGTGTAAGACCACCACAATAATGTTTTACATATGTCAGATACTTACAAAATGATCATGAACACAAGCAGAGAAAGCCTTTCAAAGTGATTGTAAAGCTTTGAATTGTTTTGTTAATTAAAATAATAACCAGGTTATACTTACCAGCTCTGTGCAATGGTTTTGCACAGAGCAGCTTTGATCCTCCTCTTCAGGGGGTCCCCCACTGGCGCTCCTGGCTTGTTCCCCCATAGGAAGCTGCTTCCTATGGGGGCACTCATTTGTGCTTGATCCGGAGCCGGGCAGTTTGCGTCTATTCAGACACGGTTAAAAAAAAAAACAACTTTTACAACCACTTTTAATCTTTTTTATTAATAATTTTTTATTAAGTGTTTGCGTTTAACTACTTTCATTCTTTGCAGTGTCTCCACAGCAAACGTGACAGGACTGCTTGAATGATGTGTAATGTAAGGCCATGTACACATTAATGTGTTTCTTTTTTGTCCCAGAATGCACAGCTTCAGACCTGCTGGAAGAGCTGATGTCATCTGAAGGTGAGTGTCTGAGCTGTGTGCTGTGATTGGCTGGCTGTTCTGTAAAATTACTGGTGGTCTTCTTACCCTCCTGGTCCTTCCTCTCCAGTGTTCGCTCCTCTGCTCAGACTCTCCCCACCCCCTGGAGACCACGACTATGTCTACAACTTGGATGAAAGTGAAGGAGTCTGCGACTTATTTGACGTTCCCATCAATCTTTGACATCTGAACTTGGCCCTGTGCCATATTGTGAATAGAGACACTATTTGGTTCCATAATGAAGAGTTGTCTATTTTTGGATTTGATAGTTATTTGTGCAATGCAGAATGGTGTAGAGACTTTGCATTACGGCGATCCCGGAAGACACACCTCCACGTTGCCCTTTGTGCCAGGAGAATGGCCATTCTTGCAGGAATATGTGGATATAAAGTTATTTTTCTACCAAACTGTCCTTTCTGTGCTTTGTTGTATTTTTTTAAGTTTTTTTGTTTTTTACTAAATAAATACATTTTGGCCAGTAGCACTTTATGGACCTAAAAGCTGTTCTGATTCTTGCTATGTGGTGATGTACTTACCTGACATAAGAACTGTCTGTATTACTCACTACCTACCAGTTGGCTTGCAGTTGCCATAGTTCACAGACATATACACAGTTCTTATGTGAACTCTGGCCTCACATTATGTGCTGCTGTATTGTATGCTGAATCCATCTGCATTGGTAGTTTTTCATTGTCCCCCCCCCCCCCCCCCTGTAAAGTCTCACAAATACCCATTGATCCTGCCAGTTAAGTTCACCCAAGGTAGATTCCTGTGATGGGTTGGCAACTATGCTAGACTGCTCCTGAATTCAGAGCAGCATGGTGGTGCCAGGTGAGTGGTGCCTGCTTGCACTACAGTGGGAGAGGAAGATCTTGGAGGCGGCGTGGCTATTGGCATATACAATCCTGTAGCTTGTCAGTCATCACCTGGCCACACCCAGTCCTGTCCTCTCCTCTCTGGATAGAGTGCACTGTCTCTGTTGCTGAAACCCTCCCACTGTGAGCTGCACTGTCTGGAAGAGGGAACATATGAGACAAGTGATGTATGATTGGGCTCAGTCAGGGGAGATAAAGGAAGATATTAGTCTACTTTATAAGGTTGTTTGATCCAGACAGTTCTTAATTCCGACTGTGGGGTAGATTTACTAAAACTGATGCACTTAGAATCAGGTGCAATTGTGCATGGTAGCCAATCAGCTTCTAATTTCAGCTTGTCCAATTAAGCTTTGGTAAAAAAAAAAACCTGGAAGCTGATTGGTTTCTATGCAGAGCTGCATCAGATTTTGCTTTCCAGTTTTAATAAATCAACTCCTATGGATCATTTATGAGGGGCCCAGTCTGAAAATGTGAGTAGTGTGTGGTGTTCAGAACTTCCAAGTAGCCAGGAGGTGACATCTCACCAGTCCAACTACCTAGGGAGCATCATTTTGCTCATCCAACTAGCGAGAGAGTGACATCTCACCGGCCCAAATAGACAGCAACAACACATTGGTCCAACTAGATAAGAGAGCAGTACTTCATTGGTCCAAATAGCCAAGGAACATCTCACTGGTCCAAATAGCCAGACAGTGGCACTTCACTAGTCCAACTAACCAAAAAGCCACATTTCACTGGATCAGCTAGCTAGGGAGGGACTTCTTATTGGTCCAAGTAGCCAGGGAGCTACATCTCAAAGGTCTAACTTTCCACACTTTCCTGGGGCTGCTCAGTACTGAACACAAGGGTCTGTGCACTTTCCAGAGTTACCATCAGGTGCTGCCTAGTAATAGACATAAGGGCCTCTACAGGCTGCTATCAGGGGACACTCAATACTAGACATCCCTACCCTCCCCTCTCTATCCTCTTCTTTTGAGATTCATTGTATTTGGCTGTTTTCTCCCATTTCTCTGGGGATTGCAGTGATCTATCGTCCTAATGGACCGGTGTCGCGCTTTCTTGATAACTTCTGTGCCCGCCTACCCTACTTTCTCGCCTCTGAAATAATTACCATCATTCTTGGTGATTTTAACATCCCTATTAATGTTAACAACCCAACTACTTCCCAACAATGGACACAGTCCTCCACTCACTCGGATTACCCTAGACCTTGTTTTCTCCCATCTTTGCACTCCCTACAACCTCACCAAACCCCCCTTTACTCTCTATGATCACAATCTCCTCACCTTCAAAGTGCCCTCGTCTTTAAACACCTATCCCTCCAAGCAGCAATCACCCGCAGAAACCTTCACAACTTTAACCCTTCTCTTTTCTGCTCTGCAACCAACCGACTCTGACATCTCTCCCCTGTCCTGCCATGACCTGGCCACTTCTGTCTACAACAGTTCGCCTTCTTCCACACTGGACTCACTTGCTTTCCTAACTACATGAAGTTTCAGGCCCCGACCATTACAACCTTGGCAGACTGACGACACCTGAAATCTTAAGAGACATAGCCATGCACTGGAGTGGTTGTGGCGTAAAGCCAAACCCAGCAAGCATTCACCCAATGCTTTCTTCACCCCATCTGCTTTCTTGTATAACGAGTGCAGCGCTAAGATCTAAATGAAAGGCTAATTCACTAAATTATAATAAATAGAAAAGTTCATAGAATTAAAAAAGTTCATATAATGATAATGGTGATACAGGAGCCCAGCTGCAGCGATAATTAAATGCTTGTGCTTTGAAGGTATAGTAAGAATGCACACTCACCAGATGCACATTGAATATGCGCATATAAATATATCCAACACGGGCCACCTTAGGAAACAGGATATGCCAGGCATGTGGCTAACCTCCTTCAGGGTATTATACAGCACAGCAGAAGCTCTTGGGTTGGGTAGGTGGTCAGCTCATCCAGAGGTCCCCTTTAAGGATGGATGGGTCTGCAGCCTGTATTACAGGGACTCCCTCCTCTGGGTACTTGAATGGGCCAGGTTCACAAGTAGGCTCTGTGAATCAGTAGCTCCATAAAGGAGCCAAACAAAAGGTGCCCATAGTGTTGGATTTAAAAAAGTAATAATTTATAACATGGAATTTGTGAGTAAAATCAGGTAAAACTTGACAGTATTGCAGAGTTAAGCAGCACTGACCAAAATTAAAGATGGCCTCCGGACCTACACGAGGCTCCGGCAGCATTACGTCACGGTGTATTGGTTCCTCCTAAAGCTTTTCATGCCACGCACGTCCTCAGAGGGGAGACCAATCTGAGGATGTGACATCTCCAAGAGACGCCCGTTTTTAATCACCGAAACCACTAAGCAACTTATTCATTCCATTATTATTTCTCGCCTTGACTATTGTAACTCCCTCCTCATTGGCCTAACTAATCGCAGGCTGTTCCCTCTTCAGTCTATCATGAATGCTGCTGCCAGACTCATCCACCTTACCAATCGTTCTGTATCTGCCACCCCTCTCTGCCAATCCCTCCACTGGCTTCCCATTCAGTGTCCTCCACCCCTCTCTGCCAATCCCTCCACTGGCTTCCCATTCAGTGTCCTCCACCCCTCTCTGCCAATCCCTCCACTGGCTTCCATTCAGTGTCCTCCACCCCTCTCTGCCAATCCCTCCACTGGCCTCCATTCAGTGTCCTCCACCCCTCTCTGCCAGTCCCTCCACTGGCTTCCCATTCAGTGTCCTCCATCCCTCTCTGCCAATCCCTCCACTGGATTCCCATTCAGTGTCCTCCACCCCTCTCTGCCAATCCCTCCACTGGCCTCCACTCAGTGTCCTCCACCCCTCTCTGCCAATCCCTCCACTTGCCTCCATTCAGTGTCCTCCACCCCTCTCTGCCAATCCCTCCACTGGCTTCCCATTGCCCAACGGATAAAATTCAAAACATTAACAATCACATATAAAGCCATTTATAACTCTGCCCCAAATTACATCACCAATCTTGTCTACAAATATCACCCAAACCATCCTCTCCGCTCCTCTAATGACCTCCTACTCTCTAGCTCCCTTGTCTCCTCCTCCCATGCTCCTCTCCTAGACTTCTCCAGAGCTTCCCCCATCCTCTGGAACACTACCCCAATCTATCCGACTATTGTCTTCTCTGCTAATAACCAAATCTATTTCTCCCATCAGTTCGCCCCCCACAGTTATTACCTTTTGTACCACTAGCCCCTCCCTCTTAAATTGTAAGCTCCAAGGAGCAGGGCCCTCCTAACCCTCTTGTATTGAACTGTATTGTCTCCCTTTATATTATAAAGAGCTGAGCAAACTGATTAATAATAATTAATCCTGTATAATAATAATAATAATTAAGAGCCCTTGCACTTTCCAGAGGCTGCCATCAGAGGGATCTCAGTACTAAATATATGGGCCTATAGAGGCTGCCATCAGGGGGCACTCAGTACTAAACATAAGGGGCCTAATTTACTTTCCGGGGGCATGCCACCAGGGGTGTTCAGTACTAGACATAAAGGCCTGCACACTTTTGAGGGGCTGCAGTCAGGGGGGCGCTCATTACTAGATATAAGGGGCCTATTTACTTTCCAGGGGCATGCCACCAGGGGTGTTCAGTACAAGACATAAAGGCCTGCACACTTTTGAGGGGCTGCAGTCAGGGGGTGCTCATTACTAGATATAACGGGCCTATTTACTTTCCGGGGGCATGCCACCAGGGGTGTTCAGTACTAGACATAAAGGCCTGCACACTTTTGAGGGGCTGCAGTCAGGGGGTGCTCAGTAATATATATAAGGGGCCTATTTACTTTCTGGGGCATGTCACCAGGGGTGTTCAGTACAAGACATAAAGGCCTGCACACTTTTGAGGGGCTGCAGTCGGGGTGCTCATTACTAGATATAAGGGGCCTATTTACTTTCCGGGGGCATGCCACCAGGGGTGTTCAGTACTAGACATAAGGGGCCTATTTACTTTCCGGGCATGCCACCAGGGGTGTTCAGTACTAGACATAAAGGCCTGCACAGTTTTGAGGGGCTGCAATCAGGGGGTGCTCATTACTAGATATAAGGGGGCCTATTTACTTTCCGGGGCATGCCACCAGGGGTGTTCAGTACTAGACATAAAGGCCTGCACACTTTTGAGGGGCTGCAGTCAGGGGGTGCTCATTACTAGATATAAGGGGCCTATTTACTTTCCGGGGCATGCCACCAGGGGTGTTCAGTACTAGACATAAAGGCCTGCACAGTTTTGAGGGGCTGCAGTCGGGGTGCTCAGTCAGTACTAGGCATAAGGGCCTGTGAACTTTCTAGAGACTGCCATCAGGGGGCGCGCTCAGTATTAGACATAAGGGCTTGTACACTTTGCAGGGATAGCCATCAGGGGGCTTTCAGTACTAGGCATAAGAGTCTATAGAAGCTGCCTTCAGGGGGAGCTCAGTGCTAGACATAAGGGTCTTTGCACCTTCAAGGAGTTGCCATCAGGGGCGCTCAGTACCAGGCATAAGGGCCTCCAAACAGGATGTTGTGCTAAAGCTGTAGTTAATTAGGGGAAGAGTTTGCTTTGCTGAGTGGAAGAGTGGGTTTAATAATTCAGTTGTCAGTGCCTCCACCCAGGACAGGGCTTCTGTGAACAGAAAGGATTCCCTTTCTGGGAAATGAATCAGTAATCTAATCAAAGTAATTAGGAGCAGAGGGACTACTGCAACCAGCATATAACATTGACCAGAAGTATAAAAGTGCACTTCAGTATAGAAATAATACATGGTTTATATAGGAAGAGATTAATAATAGTACATACATCCGATGTACAGGCAGGTATTATCAGCACAGGGTCCAACAAGAGTCCTGGTGGAATTCTGGGCATATACCCGGGTATGTATGGTTATCAACCACTTTCCGCCCCGTCATAGTACAGGGCGGCAGCTGCTGGTTCAGCAACACAAACGTTTCGAGTCTGCTTCTGGGTCTGGGGTGCACATGTGCATGGCTGCTGCTGACCCACGCTGTGGCTGGACACATCGCGATTTCATCAGCAGGTTCTGGCCAATGATTTGTGGCTGGGACCTGCTGATTGGCTGTGTCCAATCACAACACAGAGCCCTGTGTTTTTTGTAAATACAGGGCTCTGTACATAGAGCAGCGATGTGACTGTTTCTTAAAATGACCACATGTATTAGTAACAGCAGCACGTATTACACATTGTTAGGCACACCGTTAACCCTTTGCCCCTAGGTGTTAACCCCTTCCTAGCCAGTGTCATTAGTACAGTGACTATGTACAGTATTAGCAGTGATCACTGTATTGGTGTCACTATTGATGTCAGTGTCCGTTAATGTACCTTCCAGCCCGCGTCGGCTAGTGCCAGATTGCCTGCCACACTATCACAGTCCCACTATAAGTCGCTAATCACTGCCACTACCAGTATGGCGTCATAGCTGCGTAAATTCCATTATATATACCAGGGGTCTGCAACCTTTAAGACATAAAGAGCCACTTGGACCCGTTTCCGAGAGGGAAAAAAAGACTGGGAGCCGCAAAACCATTGCAGCATTTAAAACAAATCCGACACTGCATATATTGCAAAAAACGCTCCGGTCATGAAGGGGGTTTAAGGGCCCAGTAAGCAAAGTAATCAGGGCCACAGTGTATCGTCATAATCACAATCATAGCCTTAGGTCAGTGGTGGGCAACCTTTTTTTTTTCGACTGAGCCAAATCTCGCCAAAACCACGATTGAAATTTATTTTGAGAGAAACATTTTTAAAACTGAAAAATACATCCCCCATATAGTAATTCATCCCCCATATAGTAATTCATCCCCCATATAGTAATTCATCCCCCATAGTAATTCATCCCCCATAGTAATTCATCCCCCATAGTAATTCATCCCCCATATAGTAATTCATCCCTCATATAGTAATTCATCCCCCATAGTAATTCATCCCCCTATAGTAATTCATCCCCCCATATAGTAATTCATCCCCCATAGTAATTCATCCCCCTATGGTAATTCATCCCCCCTATAGTAATTCATCCCCCATATAGTAATTCATCCCCCCGTAGTAATTCATCCCCCCTATAGTAATTCATCCCCATATAGTAATTCATCCCCCATATATAGTAATTCATCCCCCCCTATAGTAATTCATCCCCATATAGTAATTCATCCCCCCTATAGTAATTCATCCCCCCTATAGTAATTCATCCCCCATAGTAATTCATCCCCCAATATAGTAATTCATCCCTCATATAGTAATTCATCCCCCATAGTAATTCATCCCCCCTATAGTAATTCATCCCCCATATAGTAATTCATCCCCCATAGTAATTCATCCCCCCTATAGTAATTCATCCCCCCTATAGTAATTCATCCCCCATATAGTAATTCATCCCCCATAGTAATTCATCCCCCATAGTAATTCATCCCCCATATAGTAATTCATCCCCCATATAGTAATTCATCCCCCATAGTAATTCATCCCCCCTATAGTAATTCATCCCCCCTATAGTAATTCATCCCCCCTATAGTAATTCATCCCCCATAGTAATTCATCCCCCATAGTAATTCATCCCCCATATAGTAATTCATCCCCCATAGTAATTCATCCCCCATAGTAATTCATCCCCCGTAGTAATTCATCCCCCATAGTAATTCATGCCGACACCCGATATATACCATAGTTTTTAGATGCTATAACTTTCACACAAATCAATCAATATACACTTACTGGGACTTTTTTCACCAAAGACATGTTGCAGAATACATTTTGGCCTAAATTTATAAAGAAATTTTATTTTTTTATTGGATAAGTTTTTCATTTCATATGTGAAAAAAACCTAAAAATTTTATTTGCGTACAGTGTTGCATGACCGCACAATTGTCATTTAAAATGTTACAAAACCCAGGACTCTGTATTCACTCTATCTGGTTTCCCACAGTACACACTACATGGAAATGCAATTATTTTAGTAAATATAAACTGTTAAATACCTTTTTCCATCAGCAGTTGGAGCAGTCTTGTGGCTTCTATCAGTGTCCAGCCGAGCACTGGTTAAAGCTTGTAGGAGCAGTTTTCTTTCTGTATTAGGAGGATGCAGAACCCCTGACATCTGTCTGGATTGTGCTGATTGGCCCTGTGCTGATCACATGCACTCTCCCAAGAAAAAAAAAAAACCTCCCAGAAATACACACCTGAGCGTGTGCAGAGTTTCTCCACACGATATGTCTTATCGGGAGATAAAAGGGGGACACTGGAAGAAGGGGAGGATCAGAGTAGTCAGGATCTAACAATATGTTTACACAGTGCAGAAGATTAACCCCTTAGGTTCCATAGTGAGTATATCAAGCATGATTTACTGCATATACAGACTGATTTGACTATTTTGGGTTTACTAACACTTTAAAGTAGCACAGTGCTGAATAGCAAAAACATGCCCTGGTCATGAAGGTGGTAAAACCTTCTGGAGCTTAATAATTGGTTAATAAAGATACCTTAAGATGAATGTTGCAGGGGCCCCTGAGGATGATCACATCTTTGTGACAGAGACCTGAAGACAAGATAAGCGGTGATGTGGAGCTCGTCCAGTCAGCCCGGTACACAAATTCTTACCTGCAGAAACAGCTGCATGGCATTGAAGTCAGCCTATCTACTCTGCCTCTTAGTCCCTAGTAGTTTCTAATTTGTATTGCAACCAAACCTCTTAACTACCAGAAGTGGCCATCGGATACCTACAGTTGCAAGAAAAAGTATGTGAACCCCTTGGGATTACGTGGAGTTTTGCATGAATTGGGCATAAAAATGTGCTCTGACCGTCATCTAAGTCACAACAATAGAAGAACA